CAGAACACACCCATCAAATCACCAACCACATCACGAAGTCCTCCATTACTCAACTTCAAACCACCTTCGAAGGCGCAGTTTTCCATTGCGAGGACAAACACTCCTCATCCCTCCACATTTACTGCCCATGTCTTTACTACCAATCCATCGAACAGACCTTCCAAGACCCCTCGATCTTTGAACAACTTCCGGACGAACCTGCGTCCATCGTGACATCACTTGTTGAATCTCTTCAACGACAACACGGCAAAGCCTATCCATGGGCGGTTGGCTCGGGCCGCCAACTTCCATCAGGCTACATTTTGTCCAAACGAAAGAAAGACTTCCGCAGTGGCCGGCCCATCATTTCTTTTGTGGACTCACCCTTCCGACCCATGCTCAACATCCTTGCCCGTTTGATTTTCCAGCTCATTCCGGCCGCCTGTCCCAACCACTTTGCCACTGGCGACGTCTACACACTACTATCCATTTTGAAGTCGGCGCCTGTCGACGCTGATCTAATCTTAGTCAGTCAAGACCTAGCGGGCTTCTTCACCAGCATCGACCAAGACAGATTTGTCAGATCCTGGTTCATGCTTTTGGACTTTCTACGTCCGAAAATGAACGTCTCCGACAATGAAGCCTTCTCGGTCTATCCGGGAAAATCCAATAATCCAGGAGACATCATCAAAGGACGTACTTTCCGTCGTCTCAACGTCACCCGGAAGATCATCATCAAAGATGTCCCAGACCTGATCAAATCAGCACTGAACATGCAGACTTTGAACTGGGCCAAAAGTGCGTTCGTCAATGCAGAGGCAGTCCCATGGGCAGCCCTCTCTCTCCTGCCTTATGTCTGATGGTGGTCTCCATCAGTGAACAAATTTGGCCCATCACTTTCAATCAACTTCTTTCCAACCACAACTTATTCATCCGTCACATCAGATACGTTGACAACCATCTCATATTCGGGGACAAACGCCTCACAGAACTTGCACCATATAAAGTCCTTCTCGATGATGGATTGTATGGCAAACCCATTAATCTTGAAACTCAACCTGATCAAGAATTTCTTGGCTTCATGCTCGAAACAAAACCACTGGAGCTGATATATCAGGGACCGACGAATGTCTCCCAAGTCCTTTCGCCATTCTCAGCCTCCCCTCCAAAAGTTCTGCTCAGTGGTTTCCGCTCACGCTGCCACATTGTCATCAAGGGCGCCTTTCCTGAACCTCGGGTCCAACAAGGTCTTGACCAATTAATTCGTTTGTACACACGTGCTGGTTTTCCCAAGGAGGAACTCCAGGCAATTTCAAATCACATTTTGACTCAGCATCAGAACCTTCAGCTGCCAAGTCAAACATTCGCTGCATGTCTGCTTGGTTGCATTTGTATGTGCCCCTTCTCTTCTTTCTTCCTCTTCCGCTGCTTCTTTCTCTTCCTCCTCTTGTTGTCTTTGGTGTGATTCTTTGAAGCGTTTTGGCTCAACCTCCGCTTCACCCCATTCCTTTCTTGTGTTCATTTCGCTCACCATGGACCACGCTCAAGGTCGTGCCTTTCATCATCACCTGGCTCGGGCCATTAAGCATCTGAACCACTTGGCGGGTTTCTTCCTTTTTTCGAGCCGTCCATTGAATGGGACGATTCCGTGCCTTCGTCACATTTCTGCCTGGAACGTCCAACATCAAGAGGCCTCCACACGTTCGTTCCCTTACCTCCTTCATCACTTCCACCAACGATGGTGTCACATGGAGGCATTCCATCACAAATGATCCTGAATCCTGAACCGAACCTGCGTCCTACCACAACGCATCACCCACTTCACAGGGATGCTGACCACACTTCAGGCTCACACAATGAACCCCGTAATCCAGTTCACACGACGGAACATGCCGTCGATCCAACTCCAGGAACCCCAATCACTGCCGAACCTCCTCGGGCTACGACCAGAACCACAATCCCAGTCCCTGTTCGGTCCAAACAACGGGCCTCATCAACTGAGGACCCACAGCCGAAGAAGAAACAAAAATCGGCTCCAGTTCCAGAAACACGCGTCCCTACCACTAAAAGATTTGGCCGCCCTGGTCCGCTTCCCATCATCTCTGAAGTACCTCCCGGAGGTTTCAACTCGGATGATTCAGATTGTGATGCAGCATCTGGAGCTGCTTCCGCACATGATCACCCGGACATGGACGTCAACTATCGCTTCACCGCAATATCCAATACCGCTTCCACCACACCACCTGGCACTTCGACGCTTACCTTGACACCGAATCCAAATGCACCACCGCCCACAGCCATCCGCATCCTTCAACCAAACCCTGTCGATCCTCCTCGTGACCCACCATTTCGTCCATGGACCAACACAGACGATCAAGAGCTGATCAACCTGAAACAAGACACAAAGTCCCGTCCCTCGTGGAAGACGATCGGAGCTCGACTTCATCGTGATCCACAGGTGTGCAAACTGAGATGGGGAATCTTGAAACAAACGGACCAACATGGTCGCGTTCACCCGCCTCATGAACCAGAGGCAGAGGATTAAGTAGCAATGATCTGCCATCCAAGCAGAAAAAGTGTGCACCTATTGCTTGCCTTCCTTTTCCGTTGTCCTTCTTGTTTCTCTGTTCTCTTCCGTTCCTGTCTCTTTTCCCTTTGGGTTTTTATTCTCCCTTTGCCTTCTTTCTCCTCCTTCTTCTGTCTACTGGCATGTCAGAGTAAAATGCCCGCAGCAAATATGGCTCATTCATCCGATTACGTACGAATTGCCCCAGACCGTTCCCGCTCACAGGACGAATCCATGGGGCAGAATCGACACCAACAACATCGCAATCAATATCGTGATGCGTGGCATGAGGTACCTCCCGTACCTCGTCTTCGGAAAGTCCTAGTCATTGTCAACCTCGACGCAGTTCGTCCACTCATGAACAAAATCCATGATGATGTCATGGATTCAACAACATGCGATGTGTTGCCTACTCTTGGCAGGAATGAAGAACTTGCTCTGTTCACCTACAACGTCCTGATTGATACACATCAACTTGAAACACTCACGGTGAACAACCTGCTATACTACATCAGCCAACACATCTGGTACACATGGGATCGATACCTGCCTCCTTCTTCGATGGATCTCCGTTGGCAAGATCAGACTGGAGACACCTTTGCCCTTCGCAATGAGGACCGCCTGGTTGAACTTCTTCATGAATTTCGTCCTCATTGGGCTGAGGGCCAAGAATTTGGCATCTTATTTCCGAGCAACATTCGATATTTTACGTCTCACTATCAGCCACTGCGCATGAGCTGCCATGAGGCTCTTCCAAACCGCAACATGCTTCCATAAAGCGGATAAAAGTCCTCTTGCTGCATGTTGTATTCTCCTTTTCCTTTCGGGTTTTCCATTTGTGTCCTTTAATTTCCTTTTACCTCTTATGACTTCCCTCAGCTCTTGGCTTCAGCTTTAACATGACAAAGCGTGATTCCTGTCTCGCCGGTATCACTTCACCTCGAGCACCGATGAGCATGCCACGCCGTCATTCCCAATTCCAAGGCCAATCTAGCAGTGGGCCACATCCTCAGGTCATGGACCTCAACCGAGCGGTGTCACTGACAATCTGGCCCTACCATCCCTTCCAGGGATAGATCATAGCGGCAGTTCATCTCACTACGGGTATACGACCACGGCCCAGTCTGTACCCTTGCCTGATACTCCTGCCCATCAAAACCCAATACAGCTTGTGCGTGAAGAAGCCTACCCACTCCAGACGGAGATCGAACAACAGCATCGAACACTCCATACTCACATCTTCACAGAGGTCCGTTCTCCTAATCGAACAGGACCCAGTCGCCTCATGGTGACGGAAGTGGATTGTTACGGTGTGCAACACAACCGTCAACCGGAGTTCTTCTTCAATGGGATTGTTGGTCACATCCGTGCAGACCGTTACGGGTGGATAGACTCTTGGGAACAATCTACCCAACTCGCCAATTACTGGCGTTGTCACTTCAACATCCCTGGAGTGCACTATGAGCAGAACTCTTGGCATCATCACCCGCAAGCGTCTGACAATGCAAGAAAGCCAAGAATCCTTGCCGGGATCAGGGATGGAAGACACTGACTCCATCACAGCCAATGCCGGCGCGGCATCGGTACCAAGTCAGATCCACCAACTGGCCGCAGTTCTTTGGGACATTCTCAACAATGACAGGAACAGCAACGCTTTGATCTTTGAGAAGCTTGAGAATCATCTGCACGATGAAGTTGGTACCTGGCAAAACAACGCAAAACAAAAAACAACAGACTGTCAATTTCGGAATCACTCTCGAATTCATGAAGACTATCAATTTCAGAAGCACAGACGGATAAGAAACACATGAGCAGAGTCAATGGCAACAATACGGTCAAAGATCACAACCTCGCAGCGTGCTGGACCTGTCACGCGATCGCGGCAAGTGCAGCAACGCAGCTCCCGCTGAAAGCAAGCGACACTAGAATGGCTGAAACCGATTGCACAGAACCTGTTCTCAGCTGGCATGAACGCTGTCTTTTCAGCTGGTGTTTACGCGCTGGATCTTCACACGGCGCGTCAATCCATGCGGGCCAAAATTAGCTCCCTTACCCATGTAGCACCGCGTTTAGCCAACAGCTCTTTCGCACATTCTTCAAACCTGTATGTTGTTTTAGTGCAGAGAAACCACACTGGTACTACCTGCAGGTCTCAAGAATTTGCGAAACAGCTGTTGGCTGCACTCGGTGCTACAATGTTTCTATTGATGAGGCCGTTGCTTACAGTTTTTGGTTGCCCCATGCCGTATGCGGAATCGACACTATGCAAAACGTCTCACCTGCAACACATTCGATGGATGTAGATTGCATATTGAGTCAAGATGCAACCCACCTGCATCACATGTCCACCCTGACCGAGTACAGCTTGTGTCCACCTCTTCTCAACGTTGCGCTTGTCCCCTCATCTGTGGCTGGGTGGCCCACCCACAGACATGGAGAGGCACATACCGGTCTTTCAGTCGACCTCGGAAAGCTCCTGTACGAAGCAGTGCGGACACGGTGGCAGCTTCCGAAGTTCTTGCATCGCATCAAGGATGATGCGCATGGCGAGGTGACTTTCGTACCTCTTGATCCCACTTGGATATGGCTCCAAGCCGGTCTCCCCAACCACCCAACCTCCTGGGGGGACTCAAGGATCTACCCAACCCAGGCCTCCTCCAAGTTCTGGAGAGAATATACCATGAGGGAACAGCATAAACTCTTGAAGATGTGCTTGTCCCAGATTTTCGCACGACGCGTCAATCTAGTCTGCCACTGACTACAAGCTGCTGATGCCTTCCAAATGCTCAAGCCAAAATTTACGCAGCAGCAAATATGGTTGCCTGTCACGCAAGGCGATGGCTTTCACCTAATTCATGTGATCAAATAAACTCATTCATATCCAAAACATGTGAGTGGAACGTTTCACCTATGATAACTTTATACCTCTGCCCGGTTCGTCTTCTTAGGTCATGGCACTGGCTTCGAACACAGCAAAGGCAGCATCTGCACGATGAAATTGGTACCTGGCAAAACAAAGCAAACCAAAAAACAACAAACTGTCAATATCAGAACGATGGTCATAGGTCGTTTGGTGTCTTCTCGGTGCATCGCGCAGCAGTCAGTCCTTGTTAGCAAAGAAACGACGAACAGGGCCAAAGCTGACAGCATGGCCGAAGCTTCTGAGTTTACGATTATCACACGGCGTGTCAATCGCAAACGGACCAGCATACTACACGACTGCGCGTCATCGGAGCGTGCAGGAGGAACCATCTTCGCACGGCGCGTCAATGTTCCTATGTTTCTAACACTTTCTCTCACGGCCGCTTCTCGCGACGATTTGCAGATGGAATCTGCGCAGAATCAGTGGACATAGGCAATGGTAGCGCGCCTGTGGCCACCGCTGATGCCTTTGACCTGGGGCAGCCTTCACATCGCTGAGGCGGCAGTTGCGCCAAGCGCGTGGTTTCAGCTCGCTCAGGTGCAAGTCTTTCATCAGAAGCTGGCTCGCCATGACTTGCGATGGCCGGTGATGGTAGTTGCCTGAAACGCTCTTGCACGTCTGGTGGGGTCACACGAACAGTAGGCCCTACGGAGACCGCCAATCTCGGCGACCGTTCTCTCGATTCACGGTGCGCAGCAGGTGGTGCCATGGTCACAGTGTGTGCATTGAAGAACCGTGCCACATCCTCCCTTTCTTCTCGATTTGCTCCAGTCAAGTTGATCTCCACGAAAGAGCCGTCGTTCATTGTCACGCGGATGATATCGGGAAGACGATTCCGCCTATTGCTCGGCTCCTGCAGTCTTCCACGTTCTTCTCGGTCCCGCGAAGCTGCCATAGTTGCAGAAGCTTCGCAACAACGGGCTAACTCAAGCCAAATACTCGCATTTACGCATGATGTATCTTCCAAGGTTTTTGAGCCAAACACCTCACTGGGCATTTCTGGCGTGACCGATGCGCCATCAGAAAAAGAAGCGGCAGCCACCAACACGAGTTCCCGCCTGGACCAAAGAGCAATGACTCTTGATCACCTGGCAATTCTCAAAATGCAAACCGCAAACACTTCCAAAATCATAGTCTAATAGCAGAAACACATCTGCAGAGTCAACCGCAACAATACGATCAAAGATCACGACGTCGCAGCGTGCTCGACCTGTCACAAGGGAGCGCGGCAAGTGCAGCAATGCAGCTCCCACTGAAAGCAAGCTCCCACTGAAAGCAAGCAAGTCAATTTCATGAAGACTATCAATTTCAGAATCACAAACTGATAAACACTTCACGCAGCATCTGCTTGTTGGAAGAAAAGTTACTTGGGCCGTGGCGCTTGCTTCGAACACAATGTGCGGCAACGGCAGCACGTGCGCGATGAAGTCAGTACCTGGCAGCACACAAACTGAACAGCTGGTACTCAGTCCCCAAAAGAAATAACGACATCAGCATGAAAACTGTCAATTGCAAAGTAACAGAAGCACAACAGACATATGAGCACAAAGACATATAGGTACAATGAACGGCACCAGCACGATCAATGGTCAAGCAGAGAAGCCGGTACATGTTAGCAAAGAACCGGCGCGCAGGGCCAAAGGTTCTGTCACCAGATGCTACACAAAAGACAGCTATAGCCCAAGCTCCTGTGTTTACGATTATCACACGGCGTGTCAATCTCAAACGGAGCAACAGGGCCAAACCTTGTGTATTTACGATTTTCACACGGCGTGTCAATCGCGCCAAGCTCGCAGCCTGACCCCCATCACGCGAAGCCATTCGCAATCGCTCTCTTCTGCGTCACCGCTCCGGATGCTCTCGGTGACGGCACGAACAATCTCCGATTCCTGCAACAGCAAAGCCGCCCATTTCGTAGCAGCATGCGGTCCAGTGGCGGCGCGACAAAGCAATCGCAAAGGCCATTCTCTGCAGCAATGCGGATGAGCTTCAAAGCATGTGCTGAAAGGGTCAATGCCTTCGCAGCTGAGCTGTTCCATTTTGACTTGAAAATAGTCAGCATCAAAAGTACCCAGTGCAGCTTGCCACAGCTCGAACTCTTCAATGTACGGGGAGCGACATCGCTGGCCAATCAGATTTCCTTTGCACATATTCATCAACAGGATGCTGTCGTCGTTTGCAGCATCCCGTTCAGCTTTTGCCAGAATGAGCTGCACGTGGGCATCTTCTTGCTCATCAAGAACCCGAAGAATTTCGTCGTACTTCTCAATCCTGAGACGCCTGCCATGCAAAAGAGGCGGAGACCCAAGGGACGCCAAGGCGTACATATGCCTGCCACGCAAAAGAGGCGGAGACCCAAGGGACGCCAGGGCGTACATCCGACCCCTTGGCAATGCACATCGTCCCATGCCTGCCACGCAAAAGAGGCGGAGACCCAAGGGACGCCAGGGCATACATCCGACCCCTTGGCAATGCACATTGTCCCATCCGAGGCAAACCTCGAGGGGATGTAAGAAATTGAGAAAGGACGGCTAAGTGTGCAGCGAACTGGGACGAGAAGAGTTTTCCCCTCGGGGCGGGACATCCGCTAGTAAGGGGGAGGAGGGGGGGAAAAAGCGTAAGACTGGAGTCCCATGCCTGCCACGCAAAAGAGGCGGAGACCCAAGGGACGCCAGGGCATACATCCGACCCCTTGGCAATGCACATTGTCCCACGCCTGCCACGCAAAAGAAACGGAGACCCAAGGGATGCCAGGGCGTACATCCGACCCCTTGGCAATGCACATTGTCCCACGCCTGCCACGCAAAAGAGGCGGAGACCCAAGGGACGCCAGGGCGTACATCCGACCCCTTGGCAATGCGCATTGTCCTAAGCCTGCCACGCAAAAAAGGCGGAGACCCAAGGGACGCCAGGGCGTACATCCGACCCCTTGGCAATGCACATTGTCCCACGCCTGCCACGCAAAAGAAGCGGAGACCCAAGGGACGCCAGGGCGTACATCCGACCCCTTGGCAGTGTACATTGTCCCACGCCTGCCACGCAAAAAAGGCGGAGACCCAAGGGACGCCAGGGCGTACATCCGACCCCTTGGCAATGCACATTGTCCCACACCTGCCACGCAAAAGAGGCGGAGACCCAAGGGATGCCAGGGCGTACATCCGACCCCTTGGCAATGCACATTGTCCCACGCCTGCCACGCAAAAGAGGCGGAGACCCAAGGGACGCCAGGGCGTACATCCGACCCCTTGGCAGTGCACATTGTCCCACGCCTGCCACGCAAAAGCAGCGGAGACCAAGGGACACCGGAGGGACACCGGAAGGACGCCCGGGCGTACATCCGACCCCTTGGCAGTGAGTGAGTGAGTAAGGGAGGGAGGGAGGGAGTGAGTGAGTGAGTGAAGTGAGTGAAGTGAGTGATGTGAGTGATGTGAGTGATGTGAGTGGTGTGAGTGATGTGAGTGATGTGAGTGATGTGAGTGATGTGAGTGATGTGAGTGAGGTGAGTGATGTGAATGATGTGAGTGATGTGAGTGATGTGAGTGAGGTGAGTGAGGTGAGTGAGGTGAGTGAGGTGAGTGAGGTGAGTGAGGTGAGTGAGGTGAGTGAGGTGATTGAGGTGAGTGAGGTGAGTGAGGTGAGTGAGGTGAGTGAGGTGAGTGAGGTGAGTGAGGTGAGTGAGGTGAGTGAGGTGAGTGAGGTGAGTGAGGTGAGTGAGGTGAGTGAGGTGAGTGAGGTGAGTGAGGTGAGTGAGGTGAGTGAGGTGAGTGGGTGAGTGAGTGAGTGAGTCAGTGTGTGAGTGAGTGAGTGGGTGAGTGAGCGAGTGTGAGTGAGTGAGTGAGTGGGTGGGTGGGTGAGTGAGTGAGTGAGTGTGTGAGTGAGTGAGTGTGAGTGAGAGTGAGGAGGAGGACGGGAGGAGGAGGAGGAGGAGGAGGAGGAGGCGCAGATACAGAACTAAAAACAAAAACGCCACACGTCAATGTGGGGACAAATCCTTTTTAAAAGTGCTTCAAAATCGTCTTTTTCCTGCTTTGGCGTCGAGATCCGGTTTTGGAGCTGCAAGTTTCGACGCCGTTGCGCGTAGTTCTATTGTGTTTTGCAACGCAGTTTCTGCAGATCGCATTGGAATGGCTGCGTCAAGGTTGCTTGGCGCCGCGGCTGCATGCGTAATACTATTGTCTTTTGCAGCTGAAGATCGTAAATCGTATTGGAATGGCTGCATCCAGGCTGCGGCAGTGATTTGTCAGCAGATTTTCGCAATTTTGGTGCTAGTTGCTGCGAAACGCATTGTAATGGCTGCGTCAAGGTTGCTTGGTGTTGCGGCTGCATGTGTAATACTATTGTCTTTTGCAGCTGAACATTGTGAATCGTATTGGAGTGGCTGCATCCAGGCTGCGACAGTGATTTGTCAGGAGATTTTCGCAATTTTGGCAGTAGTAATTTTCCTTTAAAAAATCCTTTTAAAAAGTGCTGCAAAATCGTCTTTTTTCTGCTTTGGCGTCGAGATCCGGTTTTGGAGCTGCAATTTCCAACGCCGTTGCGCGTAGTTCTATTGTGTTTCGCAACTCAGTCTCTGCAGATCGCAATGTAGTGGCTGCGTCAAGGTTGCTTGGTCACAGAAGTACTGGGAAGTAGTTTGTGCAAGCTTTGTAGTACACAGTAGTACTGGGAAGTGCTTTGTGCTAGCTTTGCAGTACAAAGTAGTACTGGGAAGTGCTTTGTGCAAGCTTTGTAGTACAAAGTAGTACTGGATAATACTGGGAAGTGTTTTGTGCAAGCTTTGTAGTACAAAGTAGTACTGGGAAGTAGTTTGTGCAAGCTTTGTGGTACACAGTAGTACTGGGAAGTGCTTTGTGCAAGCTTTGTAGTACAAAGTAGTACTGGAATGGAACGTGTTTTGTGCAAGCTTTGTAGTACAAAGTAGTACTGGGAAGTAGTTTGTGCAAGCTTTGTAGTACAAAGTAGAGCTGGGAAGTGAAGTGTGCAAGCTTTGTAGTACAAAGTAGTACTGGGAAGTGCTTTGTGCAAGCTTTGCAGTACAAAGTAGTACTGGGAAGTGTTTTGTGCAAGCTTTGTAGTACAAAGTAGTACTGGAACGTGTTTTGTTCAAGCTTTGTAGTACAAAGTAGTACTGGGAAGTAGTTTGTGCAAGCTTTGTAGTACAAAGTAGTACTGGATAATACTGGGAAGTGTTTTGTGCAAGCTTTGTAGTACAAAGTAGTACTGGGAAGTGTTTTGTGCACGCTTTGTAGCGCAAAGTAGTACTGGAACGTGTTTTGTGCAAGCTTTGTAGTACAAAGTAATACTGGGAAGTAGTTTGTGCAAGCTTTGTAGTACAAAGTAGTACTGGGAAGTGCTTTGTGCAAGCTTTGTAGTACAAAGTAGTACTGGGAAGTGCTTTGTGCAAGCTTTGCAGTACAAAGTAGTACTGGAACGTGTTTTGTGCAAGCTTTGTAGTACAAAGTAGTACTTGGAAGTAGTGGGTGGCAAGCTTTGTAGTTACAAAGTATTTTGTTTGTGGGTATGTAGACTGGAGTGTTTTGTGCAAGCTTTGTAGTACAAAGTAGTACTGGGAAGTGTTTTGTGCACGCTTTGTAGCGCAAAGTAGTACTGGAACGTGTTTTGTGCAAGCTTTGTAGTACAAAGTAATACTGGGAAGTAGTTTGTGCAAGCTTTGTAGTACAAAGTAGTACTGGGAAGTGCTTTGTGCAAGCTTTGTAGTACAAAGTAGTACTGGGAAGTGCTTTGTGCAAGCTTTGCAGTACAAAGTAGTACTGGAACGTGTTTTGTGCAAGCTTTGTAGTACAAAGTAGTACTGGGAAGTAGTTTGTGCAAGCTTTGTAGTACAAAGTAGTACTGGACAATACTGGGAAGTGTTTTGTGCAAGCTTTGTAGTACAAAGTAGTACTGGAACGTGTTTTGTGCAAGCTTTGTAATACAAAGTAGTACTGGGAAGTGGTTTTTGCAAGCTTTTGTAGTCGACATCAGTACTGGGAAGTACTTGACATGAAAATAGCCAAGAAGAACTTAGCTGACATATGGGAAGACATGGAATGAGATGAGAAGAGCTCAGATGAGATGAGTTGAGATGAAGTGCAAGTGTGAAGTGTGGAGTGTGGGGTGTGAAGAGTGCAATGTGAAGTGTGAGGAAAGTGTTTGCATTGTACCGGGGTCGCACGCAGGTCATGTTCTTGGACAGCAACACTGCAACAGCTTCGCACAAAGCACGCACGCACGGGCCTGGCTGGCGCACGGCGCATGCAAGTTCCTTAGTAGTAGTACTGGGAAGTGATTCATGAAAGCTTAAATGGCATATGAGAAGAGATGAGATGAGAAGAGATGAGCTGGGATAAGGTGAGAAGGGCTCAGATGAGATGAAGTGTGGAGTGTGAAGGGTGCAGTGTGAAGTGTGGAGTGTGAAGAGTGCAGTGTGAAGTGTGGAGTGTGAAGTGTGAAGTGTGGAGTGTGCAGTGGGAAGCGTGCAGTGTGAAGTGTCGAGTGTGGAGTGTGGAGGGTGAAGTGTGGAGTGTGAAGCGTGAAGTGCGAAGTGGAGCTTCAAATGTGACATGTGAAACAGGACACCACTTTCGAAGAATGCATGCACGCACAGGCTTGGCTGGCGCACGGCGCATGCAAGTTCTATAGATGAGAAAGGTCTTACATATATATATATACATATATATATGTATATATATATATATCCCTAAGGCAACTTCCGCCCCGCCTCGTGCGGGTACTACTGGTAGGGTTCCCTAATAATAAATAACCCCCTAATACTAAAAACTACCTGATGTGTTTATTATTTGGGGGGTTTAGTATTAGGAGGAAGGGATTACTGCCACCGCAGCTTGCAGAAATGAAGTTCTTGTACCTTTCGCTTATGGTGCCCAATCTCCGTGCCTCACATTCTTCATAGTCGCTTGTGAGCATCCTCGGAAATCAGGTACTATTCCATCGAGTGCAGTCAACGTCCAAAAATCCGAGCGCAAAAGAAAATCACCGCAAAATGTCTGGCCAAGTTTCGGGTCACAAGTTTCATCTTCGCCAATGGGCTGAGGCATACCATCCACCTCAACGATACAAAAGGTCCCAGAGTTCTCTAGAAGTGAGATTGGTTTTCAGATCGGACCATGTTGATCCAAGAAAGCTTGAAGAGACCTTTGGGCTTCGGCGAACGTCCAATTACGCTCCAATCCACTGGCTGCGTTGCCTTTGATTCCCAAATCAATTCTCGCATCCGGAACACCTCCCAAACCATTCACAAAGTCACGCAAACGCTGCAACGCGTCCTGCAACGCCGAAGCCACACGATTGTTTGTGGATAACATATGTTCTCGTCAACAAGGCCATATCACAAAAGCTCGGTACCACATAATGGTCCAAATGGAACGCATCATATCGTTTTATTATGGAATTTTCCACACGGATGACTACAAAAAGCTTGCTAGCATGATGCAGCAAACGACGCATGTTGCAACACAAGGCATGTATTTAAAATCAGGGTACCACGATGCTGCGAACAACACCTGTAGCCATTAAAAAATATCTCCAGAATTGTCAAAAAAAATTGCACCATCATGCTTTAATTGGCACATCTCACACCCGCTGACAGATGAATCATCAACAAGGTTACACAACAACAGCTCAGTACCATGATGCTGCGAATGAAACATATCATCTCCTTTTATCAGGGAAATTCCCACGGACATCGCCCAAAAAGCTCGGTACCATGTCCTGCAATACAGATGGCTTTCGATTGCCCAACACCTTCATCCAATCCTCTTCCCGAAACATAGCTTCGTGCAGTGCTTCTCCATCCATCGGCCACTGCGCACGTTCCAAGTTGTCCAACTCTTCTTGCAGTAGCAGATCATCCTCCACCTCGTGTCCTTCTATGACCGGCGGGGCCGAGTCATCTTCCAGGTCCTCCTCCTTGTCCAAAGCAGTCATCAGAGCATAACGCTCAGCTGTCCGACGACTGCTGCTGAGACGACGTGCAGCACAGTGCTGCTGGAAACGCTCCAACCAAGATGTCTGAATATAGGCCAAGAACTCTTGCGATGTCAATTGAGTGTAATGAAAGGGAACGGACAAGTCTGCGAACCAGGCAACGCGCTCACAGATGCGCAACATGTCATGATAGCGACAATCCGCTCCTTCTGCTCCACCGAACAGCTTCTCCAAACATCTAAAAGCACTGCTGGTGTCACCGATGCCAGCAACATACGAACGGACTGATGCAACATCCCGGATGACCGGAGCAGACAAACCGGCCAAAACTCTTTCCTCCGCCAAACACCTCCTCATTGACATGTGACTTTTCCAGTGCTTCCAAAGCAGCGTAAAACGAGCAAAAAGAACGCCTTGCTTTTCATCTTCTTCCATGGTGTGGCAAGCAAAGCATCGATGTGACAAACTGCAATCTCCAGACCACGTTAGGAATGGAAAGGATAATCCCAACATGTGTGCTGCGTACTTCTGCACCTCAGCATCCTTCGGAAGATGCAAATCTGAAGGCACCACTACACTGTCATCTGCTGCTCTCACTTCCTGCGAATTTGATTTCACCTCAACACAGAAATAAACATCTTCACCCGAACTTGTTGACGCTTTCCAAATATCAAACTTAAAGACACCAAACAAAGTAAGGAAAAAAAACAGGACCACCCACCGCAAGCAATCCTGAACGGAGGAACTGAAGTGGGCATAGTGTTCATCAAAGTCGAAAAACTTCACTCCATCCACCTTGCCGGCTTTGTTCCTGGAAACTCTGCGAACGAAGCGAGAATACATCAAAAGGGACATGCATTGCAACAAAACCGAAGAGCCCCTGTGCAAGTAATCGTCTTTCTGGTTGAAGTTCACGTGCACCTGCTGGACTCTGGGCACATCACCTCCCTCATCAACAACCTCCGCAAACTCATCCACCACCACTGCATGGTGCCTCTCCTTCGGGGTCAGGAAGCACATCCAAGGGCGAGCCATTGAGATGCGGCCTGGCTTGCAAAACCTCCTCCATGTCCTCATGTCTGCAACGCATGATTGCATACGGCACATAGCGGAAGAACATGTTGTAGCCACGATATGTCACCAGTTGCTCCTGCTCGATATAGCAACTGATACGCCATTTCACCGTCCACACAACGATTCATTCCAAAGGCAAAGTCTTCTCAAAATCGTCAATGCACGCCTCTGTTGCCCTGTCATAGTAGGGTCCCTGTCCCCCTCCAGGACCTCCTGCTCGGTGCCCGCTGCAGCTTCCTTTGCCTTTTCCCTTTCCTCCTCTTCCAATCGCTGCATTCCTTCAATGTTGCCATTTACTGAGAACAAAATTAAAGCACACACCAAAAAATAATCAGTACCATAATGTTGTAAATGACAATTTTTATCTCATTTCATTGTGGGAATTCCCATACAAATCCTCAAAAAAAAAGCTCGGTACCGTGATGTTCCAAATCAGATATGTTACATTACTTTACTAAGGACATTTGCACAAAATACTGCAAAACGAAGTCGGTAAGAAAAAATACCGTCAACATTTTCCGTTTCGACCGCCCCAAAGCAAGCAGTCCTGCATACAATTCAGGTAACATACTCCGCGAAATTTCAAACTTCTTCGCAGCATACTCACCAGTGTAAAAACCAACATTCATCATATCTCTTGCAAGGTCCACCAGAATGCGATCAAGCGCCTTTCTCATCGTCTGCATCTTCTTATGCTCTGTGTCCAAAACACGACCCATGCATTGCTTCTTCGGCGGCGGATCCGAAGCATCCAACTCAGTCGACACAGGTTGCTCTGCATGTGGGGCATCAGCACCCGATATGGCATCCGAAGACGAACCAAGTGGGCGTTGAAGTTCCATCTCCTGCAATCCACTCCCGGACAGTTCCAACAGAGAAGATGCAGAAGTAGGAACTTCGACTCCAGGCTCCTGGTCTATGCTCCCATCACAAAACTTCAAAAGGTCTGCTTCTGAAAAATTGCGTCCAATGTACTTCACATCCACATTGCATCGCATCACTGCTTGCGCCACCGGGTTCGACATCCCTTCAAAGGGTGATCACGCCGAGCTTGAAACACATGCGGGTTTTCGTTTTTGAACTCTTCAACCTCCTTCAAATCTACTGTCTCATATTGCAACCGAGAAAAACCTGCTTTCGCAACTCGAGGCCAACCTTTCCGGCATAACGCTTTCGGCTTGTCCTCCTTGCCCAGAATCATTTCAACGTGAAAGCAACCAAAGCGACACCCACGTTTGCCCTTCACGGCTTTCCTCAGCCAAAGCAACATGTCCCGTTTACATATACATACTTCTTCACGTTGACACCCAACTATTCACGTTGTACACTCCAGACGTCTCTTTTCCATTCTACACAAAAATGTTTTACACAAACTGATGCCGTATCAGCAACCGTGCAACATGTAACCGAACAACAAAAACCGTGACCAAGCCGAAACAACACGTAGCTCAAAAATAACGACACCAAACAACCACACCCACAACCACAACCACAACAACAACAACCACAACAACAACAACAACCACCACAACTTTGCCAAGCTCATTGCGAGGAACTTTTTGAAACATGATTTCGTGCATTTGTGAAAATGATTCTGGATCACCAAACGTCTGTAATCCTCACAGAATTTTTTCTTCCACTCAAGACCATCTCCCGCAGAACGTTCACTGCGTCGCAGATACTTGGGTCGCAAAGAAGCATAGCATCCGGTCAATGTCAAAACCTTGCCAGCCACGGATCCGCCCAACTTCAAGGCTTCCAATTCGTGTCCATCCGGCTCCGTAGGCACCAAAGGCGCGGATTCATACTGGTGACCGCATTCTGATCGCTGACGTTCATTCAGAGGCAGTGGCTGTGTCGGACTGCTCAACTGCTCCGACAAGGCCAATTGAGAATCATACTGAAAGCGCTGCACAGCCTCCAAAACACGACGACTCCACCGCTGCAACTCAACGACCAGCTCACCATGCTGCACCCGATGCATCAGTTTCCGCAAGCGATCTCCCAAGTCGTGTCCCAGCAATATAATAAGCATGTGAGGGTGCAAAGAACCACGACCCTGAGTCTCCAACGGGCCATTCAACGCCACAATATCACCGAAAACACCTCCCTGCAGAGAACTCGCAATGCCATCCTCGAAGGTCGCTGCCACGCCCACACGAAAAATTCCCTTGGCCAAAGGTGGAAGAATGCCCAACACCTCCTCACAGAACAAATCCATCATCAAGGCAAAGCAACGCGCTTGAGCGACGGGATCGCTCGCGACAATCCGTCGCATAGCAGCTGCGCTGGGCAATTCGGGCATCTCCGCCTCCCAGTCCAAATCAATTTTGCACTCTTCCACTTTGACATTCTGCAGGTGCAATTGAAGTAGCAAGGACGAGCGCATATCTGCGATGTTGGGCGTGACGAACAAATGCGCAGAACCATAATGCCACCCAGCCGCATGACCACGCAACCGGATCTGGCTGCGGTGCCCTTCCATGCCAATGATGCTCGAAGTTGCCTGAAGCACTCCTCCCAATGCTCGCTTCAAGGCCACATCCACCTGCGGATCTCGCAGCAACTCCCTGAGGTCCGCATTGTCTCCATGCAATGCCATTGCCTTGAGCAATTGGTCCGTGTTGACTTCAGAGATAACACGACAATGTTTGCCAAAGCCACGACGCATCACATGCGCTTTCGTCGCACGCATCAACTGTAATCGACGCTGCACGTCGTACATCACTGGAAGCAACGTCTCCTGCCCGCATACTTGGAACAAAGGCGACAACACTCAAAAACTTAAACAACCAAAACACAACTACCAAACCATCCTGGGAAAACAGAAAACTCAGCAACAATTGCATAAACCAAATCCAAAGCACTGAAAGCGACCATCTTGGCAACAGGGCATCACCCTCACTGTAATGCAGTTCTTCCCGAAGCAACAAATATCGAAACACTTCTGTTGCATCCATGTTGGCTTCACGCTTCAAAAAAGGCAAGCCATCACCCCATGGAAACAAGTCCGGAAACGACATGCCCCAGGTGGCCGGATCAAACATCGACAGCGGTTCGTCTCTGGTCGGAACAACCAACTTGGAAGGTTTGACTTGGAACATGGCTGATTCCACATTCCGCTCATTTTCAGCCGTGCCACGGGCAATCTTCTGAATTCTCCGAATTTTTTGAAATGTTCGCCTCTCTTGGGCTCCTTCACGACCCAAAAGTTCACCAGGAACAGATGCATCCGGGGCCGGCATTTCATTGTTGATGCGGTTGCGAAGCACATCGGCAGCATCGCTCCTTCGCCGCCCACCCTGTCTCACACAGACCTCCTCCACATCCTTCAACACACGCACCCACTTGTTCTGTTCATCCGCACCATCGTTCAAGCCAACAATGGAAGACATCAAATGACCTGCAATGTGTGCGTGAGTTTTCCATATTTACTTTCACCCAAACAGAACAAAATGGTTTCGAAACGCAGACGTTACAAAGCAAAACTCAATATTAACATCGTTTTCGATCGCTTCATTCGGACAGTCCCTACCATGAAGCAATCAATAAAACCAAATTCAATTCAGAACCCTGCCTGGTGCATCTAGGCCCTCACGCTTTTCTTCACTCGCACCGTCCATTTTCTCATCATCCGACGCATCTTGTCCCTGTGCGTCTGCAGGACCTCGCTGCAGCAACTCCTGCGCCAATGCAGAATCCTCCGCAGTTTCCAAGACACAGCCCTCCAAAAGATCATCACTGCCATCTCTCAGTTCCACCTCCGCATAGAAAGGATTCGTTTTCCTCAAACATTCAACAGCGGCAGTGTACTCATCCCTCGGGGCACGCAACAAAGAAGAGCCCTTGACTGCATCCTTCTGGCTTCCAACCAAAACAAACAAAACTGCATCTTGCATATCAACATCTTTTGGAGGGAGCGTGGTCAGCACTGAAGACGGCTTTGCTTGAGGGAGAAAAATCGAATTCCCAACAAAACCATGCTGACGTTCTTCACGCGACAAATGCCCGGGCTGCAATACCACAACCTGCATGCACGCCCGTGTCATCGGCAGGAGTCGCTTCGTGGCCGAGGCCAGGCCACGCAGTGCGGACAGTTGCTCGCCCATCCAAAGGTCATTGGCCAAGCTGCGCCGAGGCAACGTCAGACTAGATGACATCAACGAGCCCTTGCAGTCACTGCACACCAGGCAAGGATCCTGCAAGTGCAGTGACATCCGAACATATTACCAGAACTTCACCAAAAAAAAGCTGAGTAATCCGATGCCGTGAACAGAAAATGTTAGCTCATTTTATGAAGCACAAATTCATACAATTAGCTACAAAAAAGTTGGTACCGTGATCCCTCAATAACAGCAACAAACCCGTGCAGTCAGTGGTAAGGGTCCTTCAAGTCCACCGGCATCCGACGCTTGTGTAAGAGCAAATGCTCCCCCTTGTAGTATGGATGTTCAACAGCCGAAGCATGCAGAGCCTCCAAAGGGATCTTCGGCCATCTTCGACTGTATCTTTCAACTCCAAGAATTCGACACAAGCGTTCCTGTTGACCACACGGAATCGCATCCACCGCACCATTCTCCAACTCGGTGCTGCCAGCCGGATCTTGAAATAAGATTAACATCTTCAGCTGCTCCCGCCAAAACCTGCGAGCACACACCACGCATGCAGTTTCAAAGCGACCTCCTTGCTCGGGCTGTCGAAGCCTTTCATCAGCATTCTCCATTAGGCGACGTTGCGAAGCAAAGCTGGTGACCTGATGCATCACTTCATGAAAACATCATCAGCAAATCTCGGTACCATGATATCTCACATCAAACATTTAACACTACCCTACTCCGATCGTGTTAACAGAAATACAACACAAAAAGCTCAGTACCCCGACGCCGTGAATTAAAACTATTATCTCACTTTATGATACAAATTCCACGCAAATAGCTACAAAAAGCTCAGTACCCCGATCCCACAAAAGGTCAGCGCAGACAAGAAACTGTGGGGCCCAAGTGTGTCAACAGTCCAATGACCTTCTTACGATACTCGATGAGCACTCGGCTGGCATCGGCACCTCCACTGTGTTTCTCCACTAAATGTTCCAAAAACTCTTTCTGTCCGCCATTTCCAAAATTGCACAGTCTGCACTGGTAACGCTCCAGCGGATTCTGAACATCATCATCATCATCGTAAGACCATAACACCAGGCGAGACAGCGCTTCACCAATAGCAGTGATAGCTGGACTGCAGTCCAACATCTGCGCAACTTCACGCAGCTTGATCTCAAACTTCATATTCACATTTTCCAACACAGCAAAAGCTTTCTTGGCAACTTGCAAATTCTCTGGCAGGGCCTCCATAGCAATGCCCGCAGCAACATCCATCTCCACATCTGCCTCCTCAGCAACTTCCACACATGAAGAGCCAGTGCTGTCAGGAACAACTGCATTACCATCCCCTTCCACATCCACCTCCGGAACACATTCCACAACAGAAGTGCCAGCGCCGAAAAGGATGGCACTCAATGGCACAAAAGCGGCCTTGCAAAGAGTTCCTTCAGTCCACCCAGGAATCGACTGCATCAAGTTCCGTTCCGTGTCGGATCTCCATTTGATACCATTCTCTGCATCGTCCGAAGCTTCCAAACAATCCAACTTCAACTCCTTGATGTTGTCCACATCGCCAGGGAATGCAGCTTTCATGGAACGACATCGCACCTTCTTCTCCTTCTCCAAATACTCCGACACCCGCTTGAACAGCACACCGTCTTCATCTGAAGTCGGCAACCGCAAGCACTGCTGCACTTCCTGCCATTGTCGTATATCCAGTTCCAATTGAACGACAACCGGAGACACTCCGCTCCTGTACACACGATGTCATGATCAGTATGCAATTCCTCGAGATCTCACGGACAGCCCCTACAGAAACCTCGAGAAGATATCTCTTTGCCAATCCCTGATATTTCACGAACATCCAGCGTGCATATAAGAATTTCGGATGTCCGAAAAAGATTTGGCTACCATGATCACGCGCATGATGCATAAATAACATACGTTATCTCATTCATCACGCAAAAAAAAGCTCGGTACCATTATGCTTTACATGACATAGATCCACTACATCACAAACGAACATTGGCATGATCAGTATGCAATTCTGGAGATCTCACGGACAGCCCCTACAGAGACCTCAAGAGATGCAACAAATGTTGAAGATATTCGTTTGTGGATCCTTGGTATTTCACAAACATGATGCCATCTATGACATATGTCATTTCATTTTATTATGGACATTTCCACATAAATGGGACAAAACAGCTCGGTACCATGATGCCGTGTATGACACATGATAATTCATTTTATCATGCCAATGCCCACATAAGTTGCCAAAAAAAGCTCGGTACCATGATGTTGTTATTCACAAAGGTGACAAAGGTAAGAAAACTACACAAAACACACAACAACGACACTCACTCGTCCTGGAATCACGGAGTTCTCCGACCGTCACTGGATCGTGACGTGAGCGCATAGCTTGCAATGCAGGCGTCTCGCGAGGATGAAGTAACTGCGTCAGCAAAAGCCAAGCAAACTGTAAACACTTCTTGTTCCCATAGCGAGCAGATGGAAAGCATTCGGACCAATAGCACACCTCCACGTCCTGGTCAAATCTTTCCCAGCCATATCTCTGCATCAGGCATCGCAGGTACGTCGCGTCTGCAGCATCCAGCTTACCTCGACGCCGGCGCACCTCGCCCTCATCATCCACCACCAACGCCTTCGTGCCCCACAGGATGCCAAGGACCACCTGCAAGCAACACAAAGACAAAACCACCGCGAACCGGCAAGACATGAAAAAAAAACTAACACGAGCCATGCAATAGTTTCGACAACCACCCACCTCCACCACATTGTCACGATCCTCATAACCACCAGAACTGTCCCATTCACAAGCAGCTGTAAGTGTGTGGACATCCCACAAACGGCTCGCCGCTTCCAACATGTCCGAGTCGATGGTGAACCCCACCAGACGACACCATTGAAGTTGTCTTTCTTCCGATACACTCAGCAAAACACAGGACAACAATGCCACAACCTGATGCCGCAGCAAATGCTCCATGCCAATGGAAGCGAAGTAACCTGGTAAATCCAATAAATCAACAGAATCCATGACAGCTTTGCTGGGCAACGATTGCTGCACTTCATCGAAAGTAGCAAGAAGCGGCAACGTCGCATCCACCACACGAGCATCCAAAGAAGCAAGCGAAAGATGCAATCCCTCCACCTGACCCATGGTCTTGTCGGCCAAAACAGCCAAAATACGCATGCGATCTTTTCCTTCTGGAACAGCATCTCGAAGCAATGTAGTATCAGGCGCCGAAGGACTTTCCAAACATCGTTTCAGCCAGCCCCACAAGACACTTGCACCAGACGCAAGAGCATCATCGTGACACGGCTCCTGCTAAAAAACTCAAACAAAACAGCCGCACTTGACGTTTTTGCAATGCCAACAGTCTACAATTGCCTGCAGATGACACGTGTTACATTACTTTACTCTCAACATGGCAACAAAACTACAGCACAAAAGCTCGGTACCATATAATGATCCCAACGGAACCAGTTTTTTCCCCCGCTGCTCATGCATATCAATGAAAACATAACACATAGATCCACTACATCACAAACGAACATTGGCATGATCACTATGCAATTCTGGAGATCTCACGGACAGCCCCTACAGAAACCTCAAGAGATGCAACAAATGTTGAAGATATTTGTTTGTCGATGCCTGGTATTTCACAAACATGATGCCATCTATGACATATGCAATTTCATTTTATTATGGACATTTCCCCATAAATGGGACAAGACAGCTCGGTACCATGATGCCGTGTATGACACATGATAATTCATTTTATTATTGAAAATTCCACGCAAATGGCACAAAAAAGCTCGGTACCATGATGGTGTGTATAACATACGTCACTTCGTTTTATTTTGGAAAAACACTTCATCTTGCATCGTCTTGCACAACCTTCAATCATATTGCTTTGTCTTGCATCATCTTGCATCATCTTGCATCATCTCCTATCGCCTTGCATCGCCTTGCATGGTCTTGCATTGTCTTGCCCCATCTTGCATCATCTCGCATCGCCTTGCATCGCCTTGCATGGTCTTGCTTTGTCTTGCATCATCTTGCATCATCTTGCATCAACTTGCATCATCTTGCACCCTCTTGCACCGTCTTGCATTGTCTTGCAACATCTTGCATCATCTTGCACCCTCTTGCACAGTCTTGCATTGTCTTGCTTTGTCTTGCATTGTCTTGCATCATCTTGCATCATCTTGCATCATCTTGCATCATCTTGCATCATCTTGCATCGCCTTGCATCGCCTTGCATCGTCTTGCA